AAGGGAATGAAGCCTTCCTGGTTGTAATCACAGCAACCGAAGAAGCAGAAGCAAAACTGGAAGATACTGTTGTGGTTCGGGAATTTCCCGATGTGTTTCCTGATGAACTACCTGGACTACCACCAGAACGGGAGGTAGACTTCTCCATTGAGGTTGTGCCAGGAACGGAGCCAATATCTAAGACTCCATATCGGATGGCTCCGACCGAGATGGCAGAACTGAAGAAACAGTTGAACGAACTAATGGAGACAGGGTTTATCCGACCGAGCGTATCACCGTGGGGAGCACCGGTGTTATTTGTGAAGAAGAAGGATGGTAGTATGCGACTCTGCATCGACTACCGAGGCCTGAACCAAGTGACCATCAAGAATCGGTACCCCTTACCGAGAATTGATGAGCTGCTTGACCAGTTGCAAGGAGCGAAGTGGTTTTCTAAGATCGACTTGCGTTCTGGGTATTATCAGATCCGTGTAAAGGCTGAAGATATTCAGAAGACTGCCTTTCGAACTAGGTACGGTCATTTCGAATTCGTGGTCATGCCATTTGGGTTGACGAATGCCCCAGCCGTCTTCATGCAGTTAATGCACCGGGTGTTCATGGATTATCTCGATGAGTTCGTCATAATATTCATTGATGATCTCTTGATATATTCACCGGACCAGCAGACGCATGAAGAACACTTGCGGAAAATCTTATGGCGATTGAGAGAAAATCAACTATACGCTAAATTCAGCAAGTGTGGATTTTGGTTGCAAGAAATCGGATTCCTTGGTCATGTTGTTTCGGCACAAGGTATCCAGGTTGATCCAGCAAAGATTGAGGCAGTAATGGATTGGAAGACGCCCACCAATGCAACTGAGATTCGAAGTTTCTTGGGCTTAGCAGGTTATTACCGCCGTTTCGTTGAAGGATTTGCTAAGCTGGCAAAGCCAATGACGAAATTGACGGGAAAGAATATACGCTTCGAATGGACGGAGGATTGCGAAATGAGCTTCATGGAACTGAAGAAGAAGTTGACAACTGCACCTATTCTGGCGTTACCTCGCCCAGGTGTTCCGTATGACGTGTACACGGACGCATCGAGGCAAGGATTGGGTTGTGTTTTAATGCAAGAAGGACATGTGATAGCATATGCATCTAGACAGTTGAAAAGACACGAGGAGAACTATCCGACTCATGATCTAGAGCTAGCCGCGATAATCCACGCTCTAAAAATTTGGAGGTCTTATCTTTATGGTGAAAAGGTTAAACTCAACACCGATCACAAGAGTTTAACCCATGTCATCTCGCAGAAAGATTTGAACCTCCGACAACGACGTTGGCTAGAACTTATGGCTGATTATGACCTGGAAATTGCTTACCATCCGGGTAAAGCAAATGTTGTAGCCGATGCATTAAGTCGGAATAAGATACTGTCTGCTATCAGAGTATTGTCCTCATCACAAGGGAATATAGCAGAGTTATCGGCTATATGATTTGGTTAATCGGTCCACAACCACCCAAATAGCATTCTTTTTCGTCGGAGTTGTTGGCAATCCAACCACGAAATCCATTGCTATAGAGTCCCACTTCCATTCCGGAATCTCTAATGGTTGCAACTTTCCTCCGGGCATTTGTCGTTCAGCCTTCACTTGTTGACACGTCAGACATCGTGCAACAAAATCTGCAACGTCTTTCTTAATGCCAGGCCAAGTATACCATTGTCGCAAGCCTCGATACAAAAAGTTGGAGCAGTAGCGTATCGAGTGGAGTTACCGGCAGAACTCGGCAACATACATGATGTATTCCACGTGTCCATGTTACGAAAATACGTGGCAGATCCATCCCACATTTTACGGCCGCAGGAGATTGAGGTTACCCATAATGTTCACTTTCGTGATGAGCCGCTACAAATCATGGACTATAAGACGAAGCAGTTGAGGAATAAGGCGATCCCCTTGGTCAAAGTCCTATGGTGGAGTCAGGGAGTCTCCGACATGACTTGGGAACCAGAGAAGGAAATGCGTGAACAACACCCTCATCTTTTCGGTAAATACTCTTATCTAATTTTAATTCAAATTCGAGGACGAATTCATTTTAAGGGAGGTGGATTGTAACATCCCATAAAACGTTAAAAAAAAAACAAATAAAGAAAGAAAAAAAAAAAGGGGAAAACATGTCTCCATGTTTCCTTCACCCACTCTCGTGCCCCACCCCCTATGCTACTCACCCACCAATCAACGTCATCTCCTTCTTCTTTTTATATGCCTTACCTCTTCTCCTCCTTCTTAATTTCTCTGCGCTCTCTCCCTTACTCTAACTCTTCCTCCAGCAGAAACTCACAACCAAGCACTTGATCAAAGAACGGTAAGAAAATATCCTTCCTTTTCTTTTCCTTCTCATTATCCTGTAATTTCTTTAACTCTCTCATAAGAAATCATTACTTTCTTCATCTGAAACTCCCTCTAGTTATTATCACGAACGGAGTCGGGCGAAGAAAAAACTCAATCCAAAATTAACCCACGACCCTCTAAGAGACAAAAGAACTCAACGGTGAGTGAATCAAGTTCAATTCGAAAAATTCAATTTCCTTTGATTCTTGGTGATTTCGACATGTTTTCATTAAATTGATGTTTGATTTATATTATGGAATGACTTTTGTGAATTTTAGGTTTAACATGTTGAATCTTGATGAGTTTTGAATGTTTTTATGGAATCACGAGATTCGTATCGGACCAAATTAATTTCGGTCTGAAATGAACTGAGAATTAAGATATGAAAAATGTGATAATAATAAATTTTTGAAATAATAGTAATATTAATAATAATGATAATAATACTAATAACCATAATAATAATACTTTGAAATTAATAATAATAATAATAATAATAATAATAATAATAATAATAATAATAATAATAATAATAATAATAATAATAATAATAATAATAATAATAATAATAATAATAATGCTAATGATGATAATGATAATAATAATATTAATAACGATAAGGATGATATAATAATAATAATAATAATAATAATAATAATAATAATAATAATAATAATAATAATAATAATAATAATAATAATAATAATAATAATAATAATAATAATAATAATAATAATAATAATAATAATAATAATAATAATAATAATAATAATAATAATAATAATAATAATAATAATAATAAT